GTGAGAAAAAAAAAATAGAATAATACAGAGCAAAAAAATACGCCATCGGTAGAGCAGATGTGGTGTGAGATAGGATAGAGCAGAGAATGTGAAGGATTTGTCTGTTTAATAAAGGAAGCAAAGTGAGTGACAGGTGGGGTATTTCTACAGCGTTATAGTGGTGACAGGATGAGTGGGAGTACACACACACTTTTACGTTTTTAGTTCCTCATCACATCCCTGACACGCACACATATACACCACATGTCTTGGGTTGTGTCAGGATAAGCCGATCCGCCTCAGATCCAATTTGGATGATGTTAACAAATAATTTTCAAATCTTTTCGTCTTTTCCTAGCAACAAGGTTACAATCTTCTGCCAAATGGAATCACCTGGAACACTTATTTTTGCCATTTGAACAAAAGAATAATCAGATAATCAGCAAAACCAAAGCGCATAAGGACGGATTAAGCAAACGGCAAACAAAAAACTCACAGGAGCCAGGTCCGGAAGAAGAAGAATGGAGAAAGAAAGGGAAACATAGATGAGGGGAAACAAATGGGAAAGGGGGAGCTGCTCAGTTCAGTAAGCTTTTAAGATCCTCCACAGTCTGGGTCCACGGTTTAATTACCTCTCCTTTAGCCCTGTGGATATTCTCAGAGGAGAGCTAAAGATAAGCAACATCAACAAACGCGAGCAACCATTGTCACCGTCTAAGCAAGTAATGCAATTCCCACCTGGTGGCAACCAACGTCTTCAAGGTGGCTAAAAACACATTTCTGGAGCAGCTGATGCAAATCCTTTAACTCTTTCCTCCAAAAAGACGACATCTGACGACCCCCCCCATTACCACAGCAGAACATCTGCCTCTAGCTCACCTCAAGCATCCTCCTGTCACACCAACCCCTCTACGTGTCCTCCTTCACTACATCCATGAATCTCCTCTGTGGTCTTCCTCTTTTCTCCCTGCCATCCAGCTCCATATTTAACATCCTTTGCTCACTATATTCACTCTCCCTCCTCTGCACATGTCCAAACCATTTCAACCTTGCTTCTCTCCATTTCCCATGTCTGTTAAAAGCTCAGCCATAACATTAAACATCCTCATGCGACCAGAACTGACACACTGAGGGGGATATGAGCCCGCTAGGGTCGTCTTTTAGTGTCTGGCACCAGGATCTCATTGAGTTCTGTGAATGGATGCATGGGGGCTTGGACGTGTTGTGGCGCATCCCGCAGACTCTCAACCTGAGCAGGCCATTACACGTTGAGCAGTGTTGCCTGTAAGATGTTAATCTGTTTATTTTATTAAGAACATATCCCCATGCATGAAACATAGGCTCCATGCTGAAACTATTAAGTCAATCTAATATACTGTACATGTTTCAGATCAAATATTAGCTTTGATTTTGGTTTCTGTGTTGAAAAACTGCACTCCCACACACACTGGCCTACTTACTGCGCAAAGGTCTTGTCCTGCAGTGGTGTATCATTGATTTGGACGATGCACTCGTCCTCCTTGAAGAGATTCTCCTTCTTGGACCGACTGTTTTCCTCGATGCCTTTAATGTGGAGGCCAAGGGGTCTTGCGACAAATACAGTATGGAGTCAATATGAAATCACGGAGGTAAACACACATGACTACATGGCAACACTCGAGTAACTTCTGCATTTTTATGAGTCAACATTGCCATCTGCCTTTCCTTGCGCAGGCCTGCTTGATTATGAGAGGATGTGGAGAAGAGAGCGTTTATGTGAGCTTACCGTCCATTGAGCGAGGAGCAGTATGGGACCACGTGTATACCCAGGGGCCCACGGTCACCAGGGAACTCGACTGTCCTCGTCAGACTACTGCCAAAAAATACACAAATCAGGGACATGAAATCCTGAAAACACAGATACAGTAAAAAAACAACAACAACAAAAAGCTACACACACTCAACCTTTCCATTTGCATTTTCCTCCAGGCTACACAGATAGGGATAGAAATTAGCTTACAGGCAGCCCTGCCAAAAATTGGAATTATGTGTGTGTTTTTGTGTGTGGGGTGTGTGCGATTGAGGACGCAGGTGGCTACTTCACCCCTTATCTACCTGCCTCTCAACTACCCAATCTAGCCGGTGGACAAAAGAAGAGAGCAGGAGATAAAAGAAAGAGACAGATAGAGGAGCAGATACAGATGAAACAGAATGAGGTTCTCTAATAATCTCTGCAGAGCCTTGAACTGTGGCTTTTAGCCGCAGATAAACAAGGACAATACCACTAAAGATAAACAAGAAGAGGGCTGCTTTTGATATTGGTTAGAGGAGAGGGGGACCTGCACGCTACGAGAAGATCAGAGAACTCCATCTCTGTCTGCAGGTTTGTTCTTATAAACACAATTATGGATCGTGTCTTCACCAAATTAATACAGTACGGAATTAATATACTAGTGCGTGCAGATTAAAAGCATTCTTTAAGTTTAAAACTGCTTTTTTTTAACTTATTTGTATGCTTTGGACAAATCTCGAGTATACATTTTGCTTCGGGGCACCAGATTTGTTGCTGATGTGGACAAAAAGTTGTTATCTAGATGGGTTTAGAGTGGAAATTAAACTGTTGACCTTTTTGTTTGAAAGAGCAAAGCCTAAACACAGTGGAGGTTACCCACAATGATATTTTTAACATGTGGATGACAAGTGACAGGTCCTTAAAGCAGTACTACTGCGCAGGTTGAATTTCTTCAGCTGCCTCAGGAAGTACATCCTCTGCTGGGCTTTCTTGATGACGGAGGTGATGGTGGTGTGTGTCATGTTATTTTTGTCATTTCATTGTTGTGCATTGTGATGTGATGCAAACCTCACAGCGCAGCAGTCTTGCTACCATCTTGTCAACCTTCCCTTTCACTCTTTGCTCCTATCCTTCAGTCACAAATCGCCCCAGACACTCGTCTCCACCCTGCCTGCGCTCCGTTCCTCACCTCTCTTGGGCACTCTCCATCGCTTTCAGGCATTTAAACTCATCTCCCTTCACCTTTCTTTCCATCTCCCTCTCATTCACACGTGTATTTTCTCTTACGTCTACAGAGTTTGATTCCTCTTCCCCCCAGAGCATACCTCCACCTCTCCAGGCTCCTGCTATAACTACAGATAAGCATGTCGTCTGTGAACATCACAGTCCAGGGAGACTCCTGCTGGACCTCATCTCTACATAGGATGGATGTGGTGTGCTTTCTTCTCTCAAAAACATGACCAGATTGTTTGTGAAAAATTACAAAATAAATTGCAGTTAAACACAGAGATCTAATTAATGGAAAGCTTTGAATATTTTATCCTCACGGTGGCTCATCTAAGTGTGCAAATCTCCATTTCCTCCTAACTGCATACTCAAGTGTAGTTAAACAAGTCACTGAAACCTTAATTGCTACTAATGTGTGTAACTATAAACTGTAAACTATAAGTCAGTTTGGAAACCAAGTCTCTTAGTTTATTGTAACTAAATGGATTTAATTGATTGGTTCTTATGTAGTACTCTTCTGCTCCACACAAAGAGCTTCATGTCTCATTCGCCCACTCACACACACATTCACACTCTGATGAACACATCCTGAGATGAAAGTATTTTTCCCGAGGATACTTTGGCAAACAGGAATTGAACCGCCAGCCCTCTGAATAATACAGTGAGCCACAAACACCCCATACCTCTTAAAAAGTTATGTGTACACGTAAAACCATGACTTCAGTCATCTGGAGAATGAAGCAAAGCCTAAAATATTACATTACATTCATTAGGCGTGTGCCATTTGTCCACTGTGAGTCTGTGGATTCTGCCTCCACAGAAAGAAGTCGTCCAAACTTTACGAACGAGCAAATAAACATCTGTTTAGTTGTAAAGTAAAGGTACTTTTGACCCGACATCACTGGGTGAAAGCACGGCTGTGTTTTTAGCCTGTAGCAGGGGAAAGGGAGACTCTTTCATGTCCTTATTTCAAGGGATATTTTCATTTCAATTCAGTTTTATTTATATAACACCAAATTACAACAGCAGCCACCTCAAGGTGCTTTATATTGTAAGGTAAAGCCAATAATGGAGAGGAAACCCCAACAATCAGCCCCTATGAGCGAGCACAAAAGTGTGGAGGATAAACTCCCTTTTAACAGGAAGGAACCTCTGGCAGAGTCAGGCTCAGTGAGACGAGGCCATCTGGTCATCAGAACACAGCCTGGAACATGACAGTGAGTATGAACCCAGATGTGAGATGAAACAGGAGCCCAGGAAAGTGTTAAAACTCAAGGAGATCTGGAGGTAGAAGAAGTCTCCTTGTTCTTATATTATCCAAGATAATAATTCTGTCTTCCATCGTTTAGACTACAACAGAATCTGCATTTCTTTAAAAGTTTCCCACATAGCAAAAAAGTTACAAGGCAAAAAGTCACGAGTTTTTAAAAAAAACTTTTATGCGTGTATGTGGGATTTGAAAGGAAACACAAGAACGAGTCTGAGAACAAAAGCACAGAAGTTCAAGGTTTATGTGCTTCACGCACGTACACAAGCCTAAGGACTAGCTGGGATCATTACAACGCACTCCTCCGTCACTGTCACCCTGCTCTCGTTAACCTCTGCCAGGGTCACACACATACTGTACACACACATCCAATTTGCATTCTTATTGCTACATCGCTCGCTCGCAAACACCATCAGTCACATTCCTCCAAATTGAAAATTCAGATACACACATGCATCGCATTTACATCTATTAGAGAACACAGTTACATCTAAATTACAGATGTGCACAAACCATGAATTACACAAACGCACGCATGCACACACGGCGTGAGAATTTACTTTCAGAGAGGGTACACAATGAGGCCAGGATTGTTTAGCATCATACAAACACACAGGTACAAAGCTAGTCCTGCATGATCTAAATGTATTCACGCGGTGTTGGGGGGGGGTTAACAAACAAACAAACAAACACACACACACACACACACAGCTTTAGCCCATTTACATTCATATAAAAAACAAACGGTGGCACAAACAAGCTCATCAGAGGCAACAGTAGCTTGTTAGCGCTGCACGCTAATATGCAGAATAGCTCCGCTCACCCATTTTAGCATCCCACTGACACAAACACAAACAAACACAGTCATTCCACTGGGGAGGGGTGCGAGGGCTGGGACTGGAGGGGGGGGGGAGCAGTGGGATGGATGAAAAGAGCAACGAGGAGTGAGACAGATGGAGCTCCCACTCTTGGTTGACTTCCTCTACGTCGACAGAGGCCGAGTGTCTAACACACTCGCAGCCGGGACTCCTGAAAATGTGCCCTCGCTCGCTCACCGTGGTGTCTTCAACTGCCAACCATCTGTTACCATGGCAAACTATCTGTGAGAGCCGTGCCTCCATTGTATCACGGGGCTGTCAAGACACCACTGTACTGTAAAACGCTGAAGAATCACCATCTGTCATTCCAGCGAAGTCCTCCCTTCTGAGCGCCCGCGACTCTGAAAAGAGCCATTTTCTAATCGGGGTGATGGTGTAGGGGGGGGGATCGATCTGCTGCTGCACAGGAATGTCACACAACCATCAGCTTTCCAGTCACGGCCTTCCTGGATGAGACAGGTGAAGGGGCTGCGGTGCAGGGTTTAATTGTTACCATGGTTACTGTGACTGGCAGCCTCAGAGAAAGATGAAAAATGATGATATGACTCCCGTCGAGCCGGACGTCTGCAAGTGATGACTCCAAAAAACAAAAAAAGGCGGATGCTTCCGCGGTGAGACGTCTATTCAAGCCTGAATACTGTACATTCACTCACCTGTACACACACTTACACACATTTGACTTTTACAGGTCAGCCAGCAGTGCTTGGCCAATCATGATCAGATTATCCCAGAATTATTACACCAAAACCACCAGAAGCCACGCCTCCATAAAGACACAAAACAACCATCATTAGACAAAAAAAAATCAAAACCCGAGCACCAATAAGTGATGCATCCTGACCACTGTGTGACACAAAACATCTGCAAGGTACACAGACGGAGACACAAATAACCATAAATGATGTCTGCCCGCTTCCTGATTGTTTTGTTTCTTCAGGGAGTTTTTACATGTTTGTGCCGATCCTGGAAACTTGGTGCTGACTGACCCTCGGTGTGCTCTTGAGACAATGAGACAATATAACTCTCACCCTTAAATGTATGAAATAACTTTAAACGGCCTTTGCTGTCCACAGTGCTTACCAGATCATTGCGTGTCACCTAGTCAGACTTAATTAACCTAATTGTGAAAGCGCTGAACTCAGCCTAATTAACCCTGTCAGCTATCTCACTGCTAACACGGGAAACCAAACATCTTTAGAAATCTTCTTTTTTTTTTTTTTAACGATTGCCTAAATGCTACACCCTGTCATCACACCTGAGACAACAGATACGCTGGTTTCTGATACTAAATGGTGCCTCGGTGCTTGGTTGCTCTCAGGAATCGAAGGAGCGATCCTACTCGATTACCTCAGACGTAACACGCGTTTAGCAATAATTCAGTTTTTGGAGGTTTTTGAGTTGGTTATAACTAAACCAGATATGCAGATTGCTGGGATGACCGGAGCGCACGGCACACAGGAAGAAGTTATAATCAAACTTAACTGAATTAATCATACTCAGTATGCTGACAGTGACATAAGCCAGTGTCTGACGCCACATTATCTACAGATAATGTGCTAAACACTGACAGTCTGATTAATCAAAAGTAAAATAAAGATATTAAGTATTAATTCAAAACATTATTAGTAGCCCTAGGTGTAACATTAATATCCCCAGCCTTCCTTTTCATCTAGACTCCAAGCACAGCTGTGCAACACTGCTGTAAAACTGAGCTTGGGGCTATTTTTAGATCTAAAATCAGATCTGAAATCTGAAAAAGACTCTTTAATGAGCTTTTAATCTTGGCTTTTCATATTCCTCTGCAATATTATTAGTACCAGTGTATCTGCTAGAATAAATTTGAACTGTTATTTGCATTTATTCAATAATCCAGGCCCACACTCACTTCTGTTACAGCCTAAACAGATGAACAACTGTCCCACCCACAACCTCATAATGGGTTAAACACACACACACACACACACACACACACACACACACACACACACACACGACTGTTTAATCCTGTCATAGTGTCGGGCTGTCAAACAAAGAAAAGAGTCGTAATCCTAGTCTCCATCCCTGTGCCACACCAAGCTACCTTTAAGAGTGACACCTGCACACGCACACTTACCTGAAGTTAATCTTGCTCATCTTGGCAGGGGGGTCTTCTGCAAGTCGGTCCAGAGCTCCTTTCAGTACATTGCCGATTTCCTGTATTAGACATGAACAAACAAACAAAAACATTAAGTCTTTGATAGCTGCAATGACAAATGAACAGTTTTTGACCTGTACGCGCGCTGAACAGCAGCCGGTCGGGGAACACGAGGAGGCCCGCCACCAATTAGTAAAACAATCTCACGTCGCCATCAATCACCTTTGGAGACAGTGAAGGGAGAATGACCACCGGACGCTGAGCTCTTACCACACGCCTCTGTCCTTCCTTCACTCTGTGTACATTTCTATCTATGTACTTCTCCCTGCCCTCCCTCCCCCTCCTTCATCCATCCCTGCCCTGTTTGTCGGGGCAAGCCTCTATTTTTAAGTCTACGAAGAAAAAACACAACAAAAAAATCAACAACCCTGGGGCAAACGAATAAAAAGGAAGAGGGAGAGAGAGAAATGTGGGAGCAAAGAAAGAAAGCGACAGCGTCAAACTGTTGTGAGACGCTCAAACACACTCGAGGGGTGGGACTGAGAATTCGCCCCAGATCGGTAAAGACAAGAGGGGAGCAATTAGGTCCTTCTGCCTTGTCACTTTCATTGTGTCACCAGTACTAATGGCTGAAAAGCTCCCCGCCCACCAGCCCACTACTTAGCAACCCCACCACCACACCCAACTCCCCTATGGACCCTCTGTCACAGTACAGAATAAATAAATGCTTTACATCTCACGCGCGCGCGCTTCCTGCAGATATTACCTACACATACCGTCTCTGCAGAGCTGCAAACGTGGAAAAAAATATGATGTGTTTATGAATACAAACACATATGCTGCCTGCACAAATAGTGACCCACTTATCTGGGCTATGTGAGATTACCCCCCCACCTACAATGGAGCACATGTGTGCGGGGGCAGAAAAGATGAGCTGGAGGCTCCATTGTTGCTGTGCATCTTCCCGCAACGCCATTAGCTAACGCACACGCAACACATGCTTCTCCATCTTTGGTACATCCTCATCACAGAGTGAGGAATGGAGCCCTTGGGAATGCGAGGCTGGCAGGAGTGCAGGTGAACACGTGTAACGTGAACACGCGCGCTTAGCTGTACATCCTGTTTTAAAGGAACTGTACCATGAAAAGGAACTGCAGCACCACGCACACATTAGGTACAGTAGCATAAAATCCTCCCCGTGTGCCTGCGTCTCTTCTAAAATTACATACGTTATATAAGATAGGAGATGGAAGGGTACATAAACACACACATAAACCTGCATATATTTAATGCTTTAACATTAAGGGATCGCGCCAATCTCTGATTGGGAGCACTCAGGTTTAAGTGGTTGTAAAAACAGCAGAATCCCTGCTGTGCTCAGCCAATCAGCTTGCCCCTTTCGGTGTTTATATCTCAGCACACTTAAGAGGAACATTAGTGTCATTCCAGCCTCTCTAAGGAGAGTGAAAAGGCTGCAGTGTTTGGGTTCGCAATAGTAAAACTTTTAGAGATGAGATCTTTGTTATATTAGTGTACTTATGTAACGGATACCCATACTAACCCATGTGCTACTGGGCTATAAGGTCGTCTCCTTGTGCATGTCTGGACTGATCCCAGTGCAGTTGCCATTTTAACATCGCTCCCTGAAAGTCCCCTTTGGACCGACTGTATGCACTTTCTGTAACTTACAGATTTGTCCTGAGACAAAAACGATCTAGTTTTCACATGGAGGATCATTATGGGAGCTAGGTCTCCCAGTATGACTCAGAACAAACTGGACTTTTTCAAGTTCAAAGATGATGCATCAGATCAGGAGAGGTGTATGCTAAGGTTTGTAGTATATGAACTTTGAATTAGTTAAATGGGACATTTACTCACACTGCTGGATGCATAATGGCCAACTCTGAGTTCAGTATCTTGCCCAAAGGTACTCTGAGAAGCAGATTGGAGTAACCAGGGATCAAACCACCAAAATTCCAATTGGAAAATGACCCGCTCTACCTCCTGAGCCGCCCTACTCCAAATTATCAAGGCATCTCAGGGAAGACGTTAGGCAGAAACTATCTGAACTGTGGTACGTGCGCCTGCCATTATGCTCATGGGCACGCACAACCTCCTTGCGACAAGAATAACGTGATGGTTGCTCAGTTATTGGACTGCAAATAGTTGCAATGATTAACTGGTTGCCCTGAATTTGAGCATGTGAAACATTCAAATTCTAAGTGACCACAATCACAAAATTGAACAAGGGGCCTCACGGGACCGTGTTCTGGCTCTGCAATCAGAGACAGACTGGCAAAGGTCTGCACATTTATAACCACAGACACAGACATGCCAGTATGTTGCAATCAATCTGAGTCAGTCTGTGGTGTTGACTATAACCCATGTGCAGCACATCTCTTTGCAGTAAGGGACTTGACTTGGTTGTATGCCTGTATAAAAGCAAGGTTGCTGAGTACCTATGTCGTTTTTCAGTTAAATTTCTGTCCTGCAGTAATTATGTCACTATGTGTGGAGGATATTCTGAATTTTTAAATCTATGAAGTTATGCTGGATTCTGAATAAAAGGAGTTAATTTGGATTCCTGCTTTAGGTGAACTTGTTTGTATGTAGAAGGCAACAGATTTGGGAAATTTCCCCAATTCACCACGAACACAATTCCCAGCTCAAACTGATGATCACTAACAGCAAACCAACTGCATCGTTTTGCATCTTTTACTGTCATATTGACACCAAAGTCACTTTGAAGACGGCAACTAACTGCAAGTGGTTGCAGTCCTGGTCCCCATGAGTGAAGCAATCATTGTAAACAGTCACAGTAAGTTTGGTTGTGTTGCAGTCTCTAACCACTGTTTTCCCCATGCGTGACTGTAGCATAACATAATCTTCCCGCACCACGTGCACCACTTTCATCCTTTTAATATGCAAATGAAACATAAGCAACAGCACTGAAAGAGATCCAGCGGCGCATTAGGAGACACCCATGAAGGGGAGCTCATTTTAAAATCAGGTTTTTGAGTTGTAAAAGATTTTTATTGCACCTCACACTGATGACTTTAGTGTGATCAGCACTATTCGTTATTTTAACACTTATCTTTACCTTTTTTACACCAGTGTACAATAATGTCCCATCAGCAGACACTTTGTTTACTTCTGACTGATTAAAGTTCATATTCAGCTTCTTTCACTATTTTTAAAAGAATATTATATGAAGCCACAGTCCTTTTCCACAAGCATAAGATAATGAGCATTAAAACTCAAGTATTGTTTAGCTCTGATAACATCTAAACCCCCTCTGAGCTTACACATCCGATTGACACATCAGCTTCTGTCTTAGCTTAAAAACGGACAGCGCCTTTTATCACTTATGGTTAAAGTGATACTTCCAACGCTTCAGCTTGTGCTTACTCTTTGTGCTATCACTTAAGCTCCTTTCAGCACCGTCTCTTCAGCTGCTATTGTCTGGGTATCCCATATGAATATATAATTTTTTTAAAAACCTGATGAAAATCAAAACTTTAAATGTTTCAGATGCTTCAAGTGCAGTTTTGACACTTGTTTTTCTTTAAGAAATCATTATGTAATCTAGTTTCCTCTCTGAGTGATTAAAATGTGGCAGGCTTTGTGGTGCCAGGACGAACGCTCAAATAATTTGCGAAACCTGTCTGAAAAGCTGCCTAAGCACGACTAACAGGTTGTCTTCTCTGTTATTGTGCCGCACGGCGCCAAACACGTTTCTGTTTGGAGGCAGAGTCGACGCTGTGAGTGACAGGGCGGTGCGCAGACATATGAGAGATGAGATATTTGTGTGTGTGAGCTGTTGTTGTCAGACAGATGAGTAATGAGGTGTGTGTGCCTCTTCCGTGTATTTCCTGTAGCAGCCTAGTTTGAGAAATAGCGTGCGTGCACGTGTAGGGGAATGTGTAACCGTGGGATCACAGTTTCGATGTGCTCGCCGGTGCCCCCTGACCCTCGTCATATCCATCACATCAACTGACTGCCGCTGCTTGTGCGCTTTCTCACACATTGTCTTTAAAAAAAAAACACACAAATGCACCGCTAAATGCTGAAGCTTTGGAAAAGTCAACACCAGATGAACACGATAAAGTACGAATGACTGTTCAACTGCACTGCTACACCTCGACATATTAATAATGAGACAAAAACGTGAGAGAGAAAAAGTGAATGAAGAAATATTATCCAAGCATTATAAGAAGGGAGAGTGCAAAAGGTGAGAGGAGCAAGAGAAAAAGCAGCAGCTCCTGCAGTTAGCGGGGTAGCATTAAATGTCTCATTTATTAGCTACGAACATAGCAGGAAGTCTGGATCAATTAAAGGGCCGACTGCATGTTTAGCACTGCTCAGCCTTTTGCAAGTTTCATTAGCTCTTCAGATATAAAGGGAAAGGCTAAGAGAGGTGTGTGCTGCATGCGAGTCAAAGAGAGAGAAGTGGAACAACCTTAGCTTTCACCATAGCAGGCAGTGAAATCAATTAAAGGGGCAGGATGCATATTTATCACCTTATCAGGCTGAATTAGACTTTATCTAGCTTTCAATACCTACTTCAAGACAGAAAGGGACAAAAGTGTGTATGTGTGTTGATTTAAGTGTGTGTTGATTTGAGTGAGTGAGTGTGTGGATGAGAGTAAGGGGGTTTCCAGAGGAGTTGGTACAGTGGATGAGGGAGGATGAAGTGATAGCGTATTGATCTAAGGAGTCCATCAGGCCGAGGACTCAATATGCCCAAGAGCTGTGACGGCCTCACAAGCTTTCACACAAACACACACACGACACTAAGGCTCCCTTTCCTCCTCCACACGTCGCCTACATCATACATAAATTCCACAGGCTGGATCGCAGGTCTTGATCAGATTACTGATTACTGCAGCCGTGAGCAATCATTAATTACTTTAAGACTAATCCCTGATTCTTTCCCTGCAAATCTTTTAACGGCTAAAGAAACACATGAGTGAATGAGCAGGAGTTAAGGTTCACGGTAACGCACTCAAGAGCACAAATAAAAATCTTGAAGCTCCCGGGTGTGAGCAGCTGAAGAAAACGGTTTTCTGATCTTAGTAAGTTCACGTGGATCAGAAAGGGAGAGCACCATTCAATGCTTAACTCAAGTCAATTTGACTTCAATTCAATTTATAAACACGGCAAGTAAAAAAAGGCTAGTGAGAAGAAAGAACTTGGTGCATCCTGGGAAGCTGCCAGCAGCATAGGCCTGTTGCAGCGTAACTAAGGGAGGATTCAGGGTCACTTGATCCAGGCGAAAAAAAACTTTAAGACAAATCTTTAAAGTAGAGACTAGAGTAGGGTCTGTCTCCCAAATCCAAACTGGAAACTAGTTACACAGAAGAGAGGCCTGAAAGCTGAACTACTGCCACTACTCTTAAACATCCTACAAAGTAAGTCAAAAAAATTAAACCAACAGTCTCAAGGCCAAGTGCTTAAAGATGATACAGATGATGATTACTTAAATGTGAGTCATGGGTTATAAAAAAACAACAACAAAAGCTGCCTTTTCCAACACCTTTCTCTGGAGCTGGATATCTTTAATAATCAAATTCACTCAATCTCGGTCAAGAAAAGTGGTTTATGTTGGAAATTAATTCAAGAGCTAGAGGTCACATCTCTGTCAGACTGTTCTTAGATCCACTGATACTGAGTAAAAGTTTATCTTGTAATTGTCATCTTAGTTGAGAGTATTTGACCAATATTGCTAAGCACAAAGTATAGCCAATGGTAATGTGAAAGTTTTGCTGGTATTCTGTCAGATAACAGTTTATTACAGCTCATTCATAAGGGAGCATCACTGTCTGCAGCAGGTCCCATAGCAATCCATTCAAAAGGTCATCTCACTCTGAATCACTCAAATCCATGGTGGCACTGGAAAAACAGGCCAGAAAATCCTCAAAGTCAGGAGCACAACTACTCTTAAGCGTCTTATTTGTAGACATAAACAAAAGACAAGTTGGGCAGTTCATGTGGGGACACTTTTTGCAGTCACCCTTTCTCACAATAGCACCAAAGCTCCACATCAGACTCACTATGTTCTCACTATGGAAAATACTGAGGTGAGGGTGCTTCCTGGGCGGAGAATGCACAAAGGGATACATGACATTAGGGGTGGGCGATATAAACGATATACGATAGAAACTATATAAATTTAGCCAACGATAGAGATTTTGACTGTACCGCTCTATCGCGATAGCGCATGTTGATGATGTCAACAAGCTGCGCCTGTTTTGGTTGAAGATGGCCTCACATTTAATATCCATTCTAGAATATTTTGGTATACAAAAGGAGTTCATGGTGCCCTCGTCCTGTGGCTGCAAAGCCCTCAAAGCAAGCTCAAATCATGACTCATCCACCACCGTGCTTTACAGTTGGTATGAAGCATTTGTGCTGATTAGTAGTGTTTGTTTGTTTTTTTTTTACTTCTGGACAAACGTGGTCTTGCTCATTATACCCAAGTATCTCAAATTCGGTCTCATCTGGACAAAGAACATTGTTTCAGAAGTCATGTGGTTTGGTCTCAGGTTTTTTGTAATGGCTCTGAGCATTGCACCGTCTGACCTTGGTGTGAAATTGCTGTTAGGAGATTGTGGCACTATGTTAACACCCATCTGAATTCTCACAACCAACTAACTACCAAAACTTTTATTTTATAGAGGTGTTCACACTGGCTGATGATCATTTGATTACGTAACCTATTAATTCCTATGGAAGCGGTAAGAGTGTACTTATGTTTTAAGGGAGTACACAGTAAAAACTCATTCTCACAGGACTCCATGCACACAGTCTGTCAGACCAGACTGTTTTCTTCCTGTATCTGATATTACTGCATACCCAACAAAAAAAAAAAAAAAAGACCCTCTCTGTAAGGTTGCAGCTTCTTACAAAAAGGCAAAATGTGACTTCCTGGTAGGAAAAGAGCCTACAGCCATTGCTGTCCATAGAGCCAAGCCACTGGTGTGGCTTTAAATGACAAAGCAACATAAAGAAACACTGTTAAAAAGAGTCACATTTTAAAAACAACATCTTTACAGGCCTTGTTTTTGTCTGGGTTTAAATAAGACTGCAGCAGTCGAAAGCAGGGATTCATCTGTCATGCAGCAAAGAGATGTGGATTTATGTAAACAGTTCTAAGGACACTTTAAATCATCTATAATGAGCCTGTTCATTTTGGTCCAGGCGTGCTGTTTGAAGCACACGAGGCCCGACATTTCTTGGACAAAAAATACGGGCTCTGTCATTGTGTTTACACGATGCCCACTGATGCCTGTGTTCTGCTTAGTCACCGCTGAGCTGAACACAGCAGGAGTAAACAGCAGGGCTCCTTCTCCTCCCTCCCTCTCGCTACCTGAGTTTTCCTGACACACACATACAAGCGTGACCTCACCTCGATCTAGTCCTCCACGCACATTCAATAACCCACGGAGGACAAAAAAAGTCGGCCTTAATGGCGGCCCGTTTCGAAAAGAGGCCGAGCGCTTGAAAAGCCGATCCTTTCAAAGTAATGCCTGGGGCAGAAAGCTGGACCACAAGAGGGATATTCAAGAGGTTTCTCCATTTGTCTTCAGTGAGTGAAAGGCAGAGACCAAATATGCAACTGGAAATACAATATGTTCATCTCTCATATTTATTTACTGTTCTCTTGCTTTCACTGAAAAACTCGTTTTACCCTGCAGGAGTTTAATCAATGGAGAGTGAACATTGAATTTCTGATGGAGCTCTTTTATTGCTCCTTTTAGAAAGCAATGAAATGAGGAAGACAAGAATACCTAATATAAATAATCGGAATATCTAACAGCCTATTTTCTCATCACGTTTAGTTGGCCAAAGGTAACGGCAGACATCAGTTTCACTGAGAAACAAAAAAAAAATCTAATTTTGAAGTTATTTCCTGTGTAACTCACCGGTTCAAGAGATCCGTTGCTTTGCTTATCAGGTGGAGGTGTGGCTGTCGTCTCAAGGGGCGGGGCCAATGCAGAGTCGCTGCTGCTCCTCACCAATAGAGGTGTATCTGTGATGAGAGACATGGGCGTTAGAGACAAAGATAATGAGAGGATGCCGTCGGCTCCATCTGTGTTTGTCTTTCGTGTGGTACGCTGTTGAAAAGAATCAATATTATATTAGCTCTCTCAACTCCAAACCCACTGTGGGTGATGAGAAGAGATGAAATCAGAAGAGCAGAGGAGGAAAAGAAAATGGAAACAGAGTTGGCTTTTGTCTTCCTCGCTAAACATTTGGCCTCCATCGTTTCTAGACAGAAAAACTGTGATGGTTAGACAGGCCCCTGAGGCGCTGGCACGACCGAAATGAATAAAAATTCATTTGAAAGCATCTCGTGACACGCAAAGAAGATATTTTGAAAGAAAACAAAGAGAAAATGACTCCTGATTGAGCACGGCTAATGTATATGCGAAGAGAAACGACACGGGAAATGATGAGAAAGACAAAGTGTTTGGAAAACACGACCAGACAAAAAACACTGATCTCTTTTCAAGGGTTCCCATTTATTTTAGAATGACTCATAGACCCTGAGGGTGGACACGCAGCCACCCCAGCAAGATGCCCAAGCCTCACACCCACCCGCAGAGAGCATTTACATATGACCAGCTGTTGCCTCAACACTCCCATGCGCACACTCGCCGCAACCCCTCAGCCCAGAGAAAGGGAGAGGGAAACAACAGTGGGTCTGATTCCACAATAAAACAATTCGAAAGAAACTAATTTGGACTTTTGTGCTGCCTCTTGCGTTTAAAATCCACCCCAAAGGGAGCAGACGGGTATTTGTGGAGGTAAAACCCACGGTGGAGTGTTTCCAAATGCAACTCGACAGAGGAGAAAATAAAGTCAAGGGGAAAATAAAAAGGCAGAGTGTGAAGTAAACAGAAAGAAGGGGGGGAAAGCTGAGGAGAGAGCCAAGAGATGGTGACAGAGAAAGAGCAGGGTGAAAACCTGGAGAGGGAAGGCAAACAAAATTCTCTCCTTTCATGTAATCAATCTCTCTTTGGAGGGTCAACGACAGGGTCCTGGTCTAACGTGGTCAGAATAGAGAAGGAAAGAAGGAACTGGAAGAGGTGTGTGTGTGTGTGTGTGTG